CACTCCGCGTTAACTTTCCCCCCAGTACCACCAGCTTAGTGCCTGGCACAAAATTGAGACTCAATGAATATTTGACGTGTGAATGAGTTGAATGAGGTCCAGAAGAAAAATCCCTGTATTATATCATTTTTTTTAATGTACTGAATTTCTTTCTTTTGGATCCCTTATTCATTGCCGTGACTCCTTTGGTGATAAAGTTAGAAAGGAAAGTGGGGGACATTAAGGAGACCCCCCAAGGAAGGCGCAGCCTGGGCGGGTGGTGTGGCCGGGGGGTACTCGGGCCGGTCATGGGGGTCCGGGAGCTCACCCGGGCTCGTTCAGAAGGTGGGAAACATGTGCCAAGAAATGCAGTTGGACCCAGATGGCACCAGGTGCTTCTTTCTCGGGGGTGGGAGGAGAGAGAGCCTTGAAGACTTGTACCTTTTTGCCTTTGTCCCCCGATTCCAGGCATCCCTGGCTTCTTCCTCTCCCTTCCTGAGACCGGGCTGTGCCATCTCACTTTCCCTTTTCCCTCTCTCCTCTGTGCCTCTGCCCCTCGCCTTTCCCCCCTCACACCTCCCGGGCTCTGAAAACGCAAAGACAGGGACGCTCCCCAGAGAGATGCTGTTCTCCGAGTGGGATGACAAGTTCAGGAGACCCTTTCTGCTCCCCACCCTCACTGTCATTATCCATCAGCCACACGGCCCACAGTTTTATAACAGCGCGGCTGAAAACGTTCCTTCTAAGTTTAATTTCTCTCCTCGTGGCCTTTTAAGGACGTGAATTGGCTTTCAGCAGTAGATTCCTTTCAGTACGGTCATGGGAGCCTCCGTGTGAGCCTGCTGCACCCGTCCCACACACAGGTCTGAGACTCGTCTGCTTCCCTTTCCCCCAAAACCTTAAAAATGTATTTTTAAGAAGCGATTGCACCGCCGCTTTTCCGCAGAAGCCTGACCCACCGCCCTCGCGCAGACTTCCTTGCAAGAATGAGCCAGCTATTTCCAAAAGGAGTTCGGTATCTCTGTTTTTAAAGCATAAATCCTGCCTTAACTTTGGAGAACTGACTTGGCTTCAGTTTTTCTCAGACATGGGAACTTTTGACCTAAGGTCGGTTTTTCAGATTATTGACAGAGAACTCTGAGGTCCCAGAGAGCATTCCGGCTGGAACTGGGTGAAGTCCCTAGGTCACCCAGACTCCTGCCTACTAGTCAGGTAAGCTTAGGTCGTGCTCCCCAGCCGCCTCATCTGTAATGTGGAAGGATTAGGGTAGACAGTTCCTGAGGGATGTGTTGATCCCATTGATGAATAGTATTAGCTAATATATGAAGAGCCCTTAAACTATGCATCAGGTACTGTTTTAAGTGCTTTCCCCTCCATATGGGAACTTTACTGAGATGTAATTTGTGTACTGTGTAATTTGCTTTTTTAAAGTGTAAAATTCAGTGGTATTTGGTACATTCACAAATATGTGTAACCGTCACCACAGTCAATTTTAGAACATTTTATCACTCCAGAAGAAACCTTATACCCATTAATAGTCACTTCTCATCCCCCCAACTCCCTTCTAGCACTAGGCAGCTACTAATCTAATTTCTGTCTCTATAGATTTGCCTGGTTATGGACATTTCATATAAATAGAAACACATAATATGTGGTCATTTGTGTGATACGCTTCTTTCACTTAATGTTTTCAAAGTTCACCCATGTAGTTGGAGGTAGCAGTAACTCCATTCCTTTTCATGGCTGAATAATATTCCATTGTATGGATTTGCCACGTTTTATTTATTCACTCCTCAGTTAATTGACATTCGGACTGCTTCTAGTTTTTTGGCTATTATGAATAACGCTGCTATGAACATTCTTACACAAATTTTTGTGTGGACATACGTTTTCACTTCTGTTGGATATATACTTAGGAGAAGAATTACTAGGTGATATGGTAACTATTTGACCTTTTCAAGAACTGCCAGACTGTATTCTAAAGGAGCTGCACTATTTTACGTTTTAACCAACAGTGTATGAGGTTTCCTAGTTTCTCCACATCCTTGCCAACACTTATTATCTGTCTTTTTTTTTTATTATCACCATCCTAGTAGGTGTGAAGTAATATCACACTGTGGCTTTGATTTGCATTTTCCTAATGGCTGATGATGTCGAGCATCTTTCATGTGCTTATCTGCCATTCGTATATCATTGGAGAAATGTCTGTTCAGATCCTTTACCCACTTGTAACCGGGTTGTCTTTTTATTATCATAACATTTATTTATTTATTTATTTATTTATTTATTGTATTTTTATTATTGTTTTAAGAGCTCTTTCTACATCCTAGATAGAAATCTCTTATCAGATACACGATTTGCAAATATTTTTCCCCATTCTGTGGGCTGCCTATTCACATTTTTTTTTTTAATATATCTTTATTGATTTCAGAGAGAGGAAAGGAGAGGGAGAGAGAGACATACAGAAACATCAATGATGAGAGAGTCACTGGGGATCAAGCCCGCAGCCCGGGCATGTGCCCCGACTGGGAATCGAACCTCAATCTCCTGGATCCTAGGTTGATGCTCAACCGCCGAGCCACGCCCGGCCGGGCCCTGTTCAATTCTTGATGGTGTCCTTTGAAGCCCAAATGTTTTTAATTTTGATGAAGTCCAAACGATCTATTTTTCCTTTTGCTTGTGCTTTTGGTCATATTTAAGAAAGTTTTGCCTAGTCCAAGTCTCAGAGCGAGTTTTCTTCTAAGAGGTCTATAATTTTGACTCTTACATCCGGAGTTAATTTTTGCGCGTGGTGCAAGGAAAGGGTCCACCTTTATCTTGCATGTCGATATTTAATTTCCCCAGTACCGTTTATTGAATTAAGTGTGTGTTTTAAAATATCTAGCTCATTTATAATCTGTACAGCAATCCTTTTCGGTCGGTCCTGTTAACTCCCCCAGAGAGGAAAGGTTTGAGCAGCTTGTTCACCCAGGTTCTTCACGGCCAGGGTGAGGTGCAGTACCTAGGTGACGCTGGCAGTTTGGCCTCAGAGGCCACGCTTTAACCATGAGTTAACTCTTTCCCCTCTCTCCTTCTTACCTGCCTACCTACTGGCATGGAAGAACTGCCTCAAAAAAACAACCAGTCGGTCATACAAGGAAAACATCTTATTTCTCATATGTTGTGGTTATGCCGAAATGCTTCTGCTTTCTTAATTTGTCTGTGGTCGGTGAATTCAGCTAGCTGTAGCATTGGCTCGAATAAGTTCAGGGCCACAGTTTCCAGTCCTCATGGCTTGGTTGCCAGGGCTTCATCATCTCCCCAACACCCTAGTCAATACTATTTAGTCTCAGTCATCAGAGAATCAGAGTAGGGGGAGGGTGACCATCAGACCAATCAGACCGCACAAGTTCTCGCAGTGGTAGGCCAGGAGCCCTGTTTCCCTCCCACACTCTAAAGCTGAATGTTTAACTTCTCGAAAGAGCACTGGCCTCAGCTCTTGCTCAGAGACTGCTGCTTGGTGCATCTGTGGATCTGCCCTCACTTTATCATAAACGTTGTCTGACTCAGCCCATCTGTAAGACTTTCATAGACTTCAACAGACACATGAGCTATGATATGATAAGTTTTTATAAATCTGAGTCTACAGAAATTTTGATAGTCTTTCTCAAACTTACTTAGTGATTCATCTGCTTGAATGGCCTGAGTACCAAACACAGAGAGGACCAGAATTCTCTTCAGCCCGGCTTTCACTTACCCCCATCTCCTATGAAGTGATTTCCTTTGGCCTCTGGGAAATTACTTTGGCTACTTGATTTGTACACATTTGCGCGACTCCCGCTACATTCAGAGAAACGAGCCGTGTTCCAGCTTAACAGAGCAGAGGTAGACGACCACAGTAGCTCGTGGTAAGATGTGGTAAGGTGTGACTGATGTCTTTCCCAGCCACCGGGCTGCAAATGCCCCGAAAGCAGGGACCCTGTCTCTTGCATTCACTGTTATATCCCCAGTGCCTAGTATAAGACTCAGTAAGTGTTCTGAGTGTGAGGGAGGAACCTTAGGGATGTTTTGAAGAGGCCCAGTACAAAGTCATACTGTGTTTCAAATCGGGCAATGCTCAGTGAACATTCTCTCGTTTTAAAGCTGGTCGTCTTCTATTTTAATAGCTAAGGAATTTGGTAGCAAGGAGACAGGAGGAAAAGCCAGATACATAAATTACTGTAGTTAGTTAGGGTGAAGTGTGATGTGCTAGTTTCATTTTTCATAAAAGGAGAAAATCAAGAGGAAGGAAGCAGTGCTATAAATGTACAGGAGGGTGGAGAACCTGAAGTGTTGGGAAGTTTAGTTAGTAATAATGCTACCCCATTTTCAGAGAGCTTTTTATATTTATAGTGCATTTGACTTATAATGTGGCACTTAGAGCAACCTAGAAGGGCAGGCCAGGCAGATGGAGGCAGCCTCGTTTACAGACGAGAGAGCTGATTCAGAGTCAGGCATTTACCAAGTGTTAAGTAGCTTATAGGTAGTGAGGTTGGAATTTGACTTTTATTTTCAGACTTTAAGTTCAATATTTCCCTTATGCCTTTTACTCCTGTCTAGTTTTCCCAAACAACCATCCCAAGGAAAAAAGAAAAGAATTTAAATCTAATTAGATAATCTTTTATCTGTTCTTCTCATTAATCTAGCATGGAGCTGGGGTAAATCGAATACTCCCTTTTTTAAGAACCAGTAAATCGCTGTCCCAAGTAGAGATTTATCTTCACTGGGCTTTTATTTCATGAAACACTTTGAAACACTTATGAGGTAACTGTGAAAGCATGCCATTGGCACAGTGAGTCACTTTAACTGTCTAGCTATGCTGGAGGCAAGAGAAGGCAGAGGACTGGGGGATTTTTTTAATGTAGTGAGCCCTGGGCTGAGCAGCTGCAGGCCGCCCGGCTGGAATGATGAAGCCGGTCTGTTCCGATGACCATGCCCTGCGCGATAAGAGGAGATCACTTCTGCACAGATGTCATCGTTTCCTCTTGCTCTTCTCTCACCAGGTTTTGAAGGTAGCACCTGTGAGCGGAATATTGACGACTGCCCTAACCACAGGTGTCAGAATGGAGGGGTTTGTGTGGACGGCGTCAACACCTACAATTGCCGCTGCCCCCCTCAGTGGACAGGTAGGTACAGCGCCCCGAATCGCATTGTCACCAGGCGCAGGCTGTTCCTGAAATAGGCCTCGTCCAGAGGGGTCTGTGCTAGGTCACTGTGCTAACCGTCTGCGTCCTCCTGGGGTCACTTCAAGAAATGTGTTCACAGGGATTTATTGGGCCGTTGCTCTGACTCAGCCCCATGCTAGGTGCTGGGGCAGATGTGAGAGAGGAGCATTACTGGCAGGCTCGGAGGCTCCCTGGGAAATGCAGCCCATTGCCTGGCACAGAGTAGGTGCGTAATAAATATTTGCGAGGAAGAGAGCACGCTTAAGCGCGAAGATATAAATGTTCTCAGCGCACACGCACACACTCTAGCTGTGTGAGGTAATGGATGTGTTCACTAATCTTATCGTGGTAATTATTTGCAATATATATGTGTATCAGCTAATCACACTGGGTACCTTAAACTTACACAGCGCTACATGTCAGTCATGTCTCAGTGAAGCTGGAAAAAAGAAACTACAGCTTGTCACGTTTTGGTGTAGTATCAAAGAATATTCATAATGATATGAAAAGGCTATCAGGATATTCCTCTCCAGCTTAAAACAAAGTACAAGGAAGTAACAGACCTCAGGAGTTCAGAGCTTGTTTGCTCACAGACAGAACTCTCTGGTGGTGGTGTGTCCTATAACTATGCAGAGGGCCGGCGGGTGCTCGATACGCCTCTATGACACCCACCTGCGTTCCCAGTTTGTCCTTTCTGGTATCCTTTTTGTACATAGGATAAAAATAGATATTTATTTTTTTTGCCTCTTATATTAGAAGAGTAGTATGGCTTAATTTTACAGCGTCGTGGAGATTTCCGATACTGTCCTAGGCAGGTTTTCCACTTCTGTTTGAAAGTGAAGTGATTTTTTGCAGACATTTGGATCCCGTTTCTGTCTCTGTTTATTTATCTAACTGAAAGTGGAGATGATTAAGTGATTAAGAACTGAGCCTTTTCGGGGGGGATAAATTGATTGATNCTCTGTTTATTTATCTAACTGAAAGTGGAGACGATTAAGTGATTAAGAACTGAGCCTTTTCGGGGGGGATAAATTGATTGATTTAACGTGGAAACCCAAGAATAAGTTAAGGTATAAAGGAAGAAGCTGCAGTACCCGTGAGGGATGGTGCCCGCCAAGGCAGCCGTGATGTTGGATTGCCGCCGACACTACCCGGTAGGTAGTGCTACGCGCAGCTAATTATTTAGAGTACTTTTTAGAGCTGTAGGCTGTGAATTAAAAATGTTAAAAGGGTTTAAAACTTCAGTAACACAATTTCCTGGAAAGGCACACATTTCTGCTTTTAATCCCCAAACTGTCCTTATTTAAAACTTTCCCACTGGGCTTCCTAGAATTGGATTTCCCCTAGAATTTCTTCTCGGCGTCTTGATCTTAGGCCTTCCCTCCCAACCCTCTGCTCTTTCTGTCTTGTTCTCTCTTTAGCTTTTGTCATTTCTCCGGTAGTTTTTTCAAAGACCTTTCCC